CGGGGGAATTGGGAAAAATGATGGGGGAATAATGGGGGAATTGGGGAAAATGGGGAAAATGGAAAAAATGGGGGGAATGGGGAAATGGGGGAAAATGGGGGAAATAATGGGGAAATTGGGGAAAATGGGGGAAATAATGGGGGAAAATGGGGAAATAATGGGGGAAATAATGGGGGAAAATGGGGGAGAAAATGGGGATTTGGGGTAAAAAATGGGGGTTTGGGGTGGAAAAAGGGGAATGGGGGAGCATGGGAAAAATGGGGGAAATAATGGAGGAAAAATGGGAAAATAATGGGGAAAATGGGGAAATAATGGGGAAAAATGGGGAAATGTAATGGGGAAATAATGAGGAAAAATGGGGAAAATAGGAAAAAAGGGAAATTGGGGAAATGTAATGGGGAAAAATGGGGGAAATAATGGGGAATAATGGGGAAATGTAATGGGGGAATAATGGGGGAAATGAGGGAAATGTAATGGGGAATAAAGGGAGAAAATGGGGAATAATAGGGGCAAATGGGGATATTGTGGGGGAAATAATGGGGAAATAGGGAAATAATGGGGAAAATGGGGGAAAATATTGGGGGAATGGGAAATAATGGGGGATAAACAGGGGAAATGTTGGAGAAGGGGGGAAGTGGGTATCTGGGGAGAAAATGGGGGGAGAAAAGGGAAAATGGGGAAAAAGGGGAGAGGAAAAATGGGCAAAAGTGGGATTATAAATGGAAAAAATGGGGGAGAAGCTGGAAAATTGGGGGGAAAGCTGGGAAATTGGGGGGAAAGCTGAGAAATTCAGGAATTCCGAGTGGATTCAGGAATTCTGGGATACTCTGGGTGTCTCAGGCGCAGCTGAGGTCATGGGATGGGGAAAATGGGATGGGAGGGGGAAAAAACAGCAGAAAAGCTGGGAAATTGGGGGGAAGAGCTGGAAAATGAGTGGAAAAAAAGGGGAAATTCAGGAATTCGGAGGGGATTTAGGGAATCCTGGGCTCTCACAGGCACAGCTGAAGTTGTGGGATGGGAAACATGGGATGGGAGGTGGAGAAAACGGGAGAAAAGCTGGGAAATTGGGGGGAAAAGCTGGGAAATTCAGGGAATAGCTGGGAAATTCAGGGAAAAGCTGGGAAATTCAGGGAATAGCTGGGAAATACAGGGAACAGCTGGGAAATTCAGGGAATAGCTGGGAATAGCAGGGAAATTCAGGGAATAGCTGGGAAATTCAGGGAATAGCAGGGAAATTCAGGGAATAGTTGGGAAATTCAGGGAATAGCTGGGAAATTCAGGGAATAGCAGAGAAATTCAGGGAATAGCTGGGAAATTCAGGGAATAGCTGGGAAATACAGGGAACAGCTGGGAAATTCAGGGAATAGCTGGGAATAGCAGGGAAATTCAGGGAATAGCAGAGAAATTCAGGGAATAGCTGGGAAATTCAGGGAATAGCTGGGAAATTCAGGGAATAGCTGGGAAATTCAGGGAATAGCTGGGAAATTCAGGAATTCCGTGTGGACTTAGGGGATTCAGGGAACTGTGTGTCTCTCACAGGCGCGGGTGAGGTCGCGGGATGGGAAAAAATGGGATGGGAGGTGGAAAACTGGGGGAAAAGCTGGGAAACTGGGGGAAAAGCTGGGAAACTGGGCGGAAAAGCAGGGAAATTCAGGAATTCCGAGGGAATCAGGGGATTCAGGGATTTTCTGGGCTGTCTCACAGGCGCAGGTGAGGTCGCGGGATGGGAAAAACGGGATCGGAAGTGGAAAAAACGGGAGAAAAGCTGGGAAATTGGGGGGAAAAGCTGGGAAACTGGGGGAATAGCAGGGAAACTGGGGGGAAAAGCAGGGAAATTCGGGAATTCCGAGGGAATCAGGAATTCAGGGGCACTCTGGGCTGTCTCACAGGCGCAGGTGAGGTCGCGGGCCGCGTGGCGGCCCTGGATGCGCAGCTGGAACACCGAGTGCGAGCGCGACGAGCGCTCGTTGAGCCCCGTGCGCGCCACCGAGCGCTGGGAGCCCGCCCGCAGCAGCAGCTCCTGCACCTGCCGGGGCACGGGGGAATGGG